AAAAAACTCCAAGGTTGTCACATCTCTAGACAAATGTAATTTCTTACTATGTGTAAAACATGGATCCTTAAATTTGTAGACAAGTATCCCAGTCATCACCCATCAAAGAAGCTCCTTTTTCAAGAGACAGTGATAATTACAGAGTTCCACAAATGGTCACACACAGAGATTGTCTGTGAACTTTCCAAGTTTAAGTAGCCCATTTAAGATGCAACCTCTACCCCTAAGTTTCACAGAACATAGAGCAAGGGATAAAGAGAACACTAATGCATCTTTCAACACTCGTTAATTAAGCTCCCTCAGGCAATAAAGGACCAGGAACACAAAAGGCCACAAATGGCCAAAACACAGAGAATAAGAGTCAGCAGAGTGTGGGTCCTTGGACAGGTCTCCTGTATTAAAAACCAGCTATCCAGGGCTCAGGGACCATTGTGGAAGAGGGGGTGGAAAGATTGAAAGAGCCATGGAGAAAGTACAGGACCATATAGAAACTGTCATACAGGTGTCTGGGACCCTTGTCATACAAACCTACAGCAATGGTGTCAGCATGCACAAGACTCATGAAAACTTAAGCAAACAAAAATCCAGCACAGATCTGTGGAAATCAACAGCAGGCCCCAATCTTTGTCAAAGAATTATTGACAGCTGATTAGTGCTGGGTGAGGAAGAGCTGATCTTCTTAAAGGGAAGGACTCTAGATAGGCTGACTAAATCCTAGTGGATGAACCTGCACTGAGGGACATCTGGGGACACTAACTTTACATGATAGACATTAACAGAAATTACAGAATGTATGAAAACTACAGTGGGGTTCTATGGAGGGGTGCTAAAGGGTATAAAAATGATTTTTGGTACGAAATACACAAAAATTCAGTAAAAATTTTTTAAAAAGTAGAAAAACACATAGCACAAAATTCTTAGACTTGCAAGTAAGGCAAAGCAGACTTAGATTGGATAATGTCAGTATTTTCCATGAAAGGGAAAATATAAATTGATCTCATCAATATTACCAAAATATTTTGTTTTGTGAAAGCTCCTATCAGGAGGATAAAAAGATCAGCCACCCACTGGGAGAAAATATTTGAAAGCAATATATCTAATAAAGATTCATATCTAGAATATAGAAGGACCTCTCAAATCTCAACAAGAATAAGAAAGAAACCACTTAGAAATTCAATAGAAAATGGGGAAAAGTTATGAACAAATATTTTGCCAAAGAGGATAAACAAGATGTCAACAAACTCATCAAAATATGCTTAACACCCTTAACCACTGAAACCATAAGACGTGGCTGCCCACCTATGGAACCAGCTAAAATGGTGAATAGTGAAAAACTGGCAAACTGCTGAGATGTAGAGAGACTGGATCTCTCATATATTGTTGGTAGGAATGAAAAGTTTGACACCTCACTGTAAGGCTGAGCAAGCACTTGCCATACAAGACTGTGATGGCACTTTGGCATTTATCCAAAAGCAATGAGAAGCTATATCTACATAAACAAACAGGTACACGGAATGCCATGCCAGCTTCATTCTTTTTAAAAATATGTTAATTAAATTAATTAATTAATTAAAAATTTTTTTGGTCTTTTTGAGACAGGGTCTCCCTGTAGCCCCAGCTGTCCTGGAACTCACTATGTAGATCAGGCTGGCCTTGAACTCACAGAGATCTGCCTGCCTCTGCATCCCAAGTGCTGGGATTAAAGGCATGACCACCACACCCCACTATTTTTATTTTTACATGTGTGCATGTATTGCCTGCACATATGTAAGTGCACCCATGTTGTGCAATGCCCACAGATGTCTGAAGAGGGCATTAAGTCTCCTGGAACTGGAGTTACAGATGGTTGTTAGCTGCCAGATGGGTGCTGGGAGTTGAACCTGGGTCCTCTCTGAGAGCAGGCAGTGCTTTTAACACTTAAGCCATCTCTCCAGCCTGACAGCTTCATTCTTAAAGGCCTTAAACTGAAAATGACGCAGCTTCCCTTTAACAGGTGACTGGCTCAACAAGTTGAGGTATGTCACACTGGAGTATGGCTCAGAGATGAGGAGAAATGAACCTACAGATGAAAACAGCAACACGGGGGCTGGAGAGTTGGCTCAGCAGTTAAGAGCACTGATTGCTCTTGCAGGAGACCTGGGGTCGGTTTCCAGAACCCAAATGGTGGCTAACAATTATCTTTAAGTCCAGTTCCAGGGGAATCCAACACTCTCTTCTGAGCTCCTCAGGCTTTGCACAACACGGGTGCACTTACATACATGCAGGCAATATACTCATACACATAAAAAAATAATGAAAACAGCAATGCGGATGAGTTCTGGAGAATCATGTTGAGTGAAAAAGCCAATCCCGACACAGCAGGTTAGGTATAGTTTCCAGGTCTAAAACTTTTTTTCCCAATGACAAAAGCCTTGGGAGTGGAGGATAGATGAGTGGATGCTAGGCTCAGGTGGATGCAGGAAGAATTGGAGGGAAATGGGTATGGGATAGGAAAGAACGCCATGAGGGTTTTTTTTTTTTTTTTTTTTTTAGCTGGAACTCTTGAATAGAGGCATTGCAGATGTGACATAACTATATAGAATAAATTCCCAAATTCAATAAAGGAGAAACTCATCAAACCTGGGTTGTGTTACTGTCCTTTGCTGTGATCACTTCCTGCTGTCTGCAAAATGTCTTTATTTGGAGATACCAGGCAAGGGCTACAAGGGTGCCCCTCATATTATTCCTTATGACTTCATGATGTACAATTCTCAATCAAAAGTCAGTTAAAAATTGAAGTGAGGCAATAGGTTTGAATTTTAAGGGTGGGGCAGTAGGCTGAACTAAGACAGGGAAGGTACTCTCAGATATGACCTTAAAGTTAGACCTAAACGAGGAGAATGCTTCAGTAGAATGAGCGAGCATCAAGAGGTTCTAAAAAGATCTTAGAGAGCTCAAACTCACAGGCAGTAGGGGACAGATGTGTAAAGATGAGAGGATCTGCCTACAGTTTAACCTGTCACAGGTTGCCTGGTGACTTCCGTAAGTGTTTTCCTAAGCTGATTTCCATCTCCTGCAGATGATCATTCAATCCTTTAGTTTGTATCAACACAGCTTTAAAGACGGTGACAAAAACAGATGTGAGATTTAACTAACTTGGAATTTTAAAAAGCAGCACTAAAGAAGGTATCTTAGGGGCTCTGAGGGGTTCTCTACAGTGATTGTGAGTTACAGAGAAGACATAATTGGACAAGAAGCCACTCACTGTATGTTTTAAAAATTACATCTGAGCCCACCATTCTGCAGGACAGACTTGTTTCCCCTATAGTAGTCCTCAAGCCCAGCTCAACAGTGCTTCAGTAACCCCATGAGTTCTCAGGATGCAGCTCCACCAAGCCTCCAGGACCAGGTGCAACTGGCTTCCTAGACTGGACAGTTGTCAGGCATCCTGCCAGCCTTGTTTCCCAGACTTCAATACCCAGAGGTTCAAGTCAGCCATCAGCACCCGAGCCATTCCTGAGTACAATTTGTGTAAGTCTTGATGATTTCATCCTCTGAGACTTTGAAGATAAGCTGCCTGCACAGCCTCACAAGACATCCTCCACTTCCTTGGATTCCATCAAACCAGCCATAGGCGGCATCTGGCATCACGGAATTCCATGCCTCACCAGACTGATGACAGGTCCCCAAAATCTGAGCTTGTGACTATGAGCTGTGAGCCTCTGGGCTGGGGGAGGGGGAGGGCCTGGCCTCTGACTAATGCGGTAATCTTACCTCAGTTGTGGGCAGCCCGAGATATACGTGCCCTTCTCCACGCAAAGCTGAGCGAGCTTCTCCATTCGCTCTCACAGGCAATAAATACGCTACCGTCACCCACCATGGCCTCAACTAATATGACCGGTCAGCAGTCTGAAAATCCTCATTTTCAGTTTGCTCCTGGGAGTGAGCTTCTGACCCGTCGGAACAGAATTCCAGAATGCTGTAAAGCTGCTGGCATACAGTGTAACCAGAATCTCAGGTCCGCTGCAAGCTACTTCAGTGATAAACAGAGACGATTCATTAAAAGGAAATGGGTTTATTTGTGATTTGTATCAGAACTGGGGAGCGAGAGAGAAAAAAGTTTCTATGCAGCCAGCAGTAGAGTTACAAAGAACTGCAAAACTGAGACAAAAGCCCAGAAATGCGCATATGTAGATTTAGTTGTAGGGCAAGCTATCCGACTGTGTGGGGAGGAGGTTCCTTTTCCGGCCTTAATGTCCTGGCTGTTCTCACCCCCAACTTTACAGTGTCTGCGAGGGGCAGCAGGCAGAGGACCAGGAAGTGGGGAAAGGGGCACGGGGAAAAGACCCCGGGGTTACTCTCTAAAATAGCATCAGCCCTGGCCCACAGCCTTGAGCGTTTGTTTGGTGGCTCCTAGGCTTTTCGGCTCCTGCGGACTGCAGTCGAGGTAGCCCCCAGTAGCCTCTCGACAGCAGGCTAAATCACACTGGGTTTCAGGTGAGGTGGAGAAATTACAGGATTCTTGTGTGTCCTGTCCCATCCATTTGCGAAGTTTTGACTAAGAAGTTAGTCTTTGGTACTTTGACTTCCAGGTTCACTTGCAGCTTCTTGGAAGGAAAGACACTTTAATCTCGCCAGGAGGAGGGTCATAGGCAAATTCCACCGACTTCCCATCTCTAGACCCCAGGTCGTCGTGGGAAGCAAACACCGGATGTGCCGAACTGCACTGTCCCTCCTCCTTCTTCCCCAGGCTTTGTCCTCTTTGCTAGAGTGCCAGCTAGAGCAGCTGAGCTAGGAAATATGTGAGAAGGGGGAACTGGGCAGGCCCGGCTGGCAGCGGAGGGGGGCGGTCACAGAGCCCAGCAACTGGAGGTAGGTGTCACAGCGCCGGGCAGGCAGAGGTGGGGTTGGCGTGAGAGCTGTGTTTGAATGAATGAGTCACTTCCCCTACTGGGCAAACGTTCCCCGGTTTTCCCCCAACTGCCGGGACCTCCCTGGATCAGGGAGGACCCAGAGGGGGGCGGGGAAACAACCAGAAACTGGCCGGAAAGACCGAGCACACGGTGGACAAAAGCCTAGCTCCACTTTCTGACCACTTCCACACTCACTCTCCAGCCACTTTCTCTCACTGGTCCCAGACGATGACGGCCACTTCCAGACAGATGGACCTGGGCCCTGGCACTAGAGGTGACCTTGGGTAGCCATGCAGCCGCTGCCAGATCCATTTCTTTCCTCCGCAGAGGAGGTGAGACGGTAGCTTGAGCCGGAGTTCATCACAGTAAGAGCAGTTTAAGGAGTAAAAGGATCTCCAACTACCCCCAAGAAGGGGGAAACAGGGCGGAGGCTCCCAGACAACTTTTCCCGGCTGGGGTGAATGGGGGTGGGGGGGCGTCCGGGGAAGGTGGCAGCGGGGCGTGTCCTGCCGGGCGGGCCGGGGCGTCGTCAGCTGAGCCTGCGGGCTGCTGGGGCAGGCGGGGTCGCAGCCCGACAGCGACCCCAGGGCGGAGCTACGTGTGGCAGCCGCGGGGAGGCGCTAACTCGGGGATCTAAACCCACCTTTGTTTCTTACCTCCTTTAAAAGGTCCTGCGCGCTGCCTGTCTCCCGCCATCTAAGAGCCTCCTGCCCTCTGCAGCCCCAGCTGGGTCTTCGCCGCCCGCGTCCAGTGTAGCGGATCCCGGCGTCCCAGCCCAGGACAGAGCAGTGAGCTGTCTGCCTCCGGGGATCCTCTCTGGTCCTCCGACGAGGGAAGATCCACGTGCCTATAGGTGAGGGGATTGAAGCTGGGTGAACTCGGGTGATCACTGCAAAGACCGCGCTGGGACCTGGCCAGGGAGGGTGCGCGGTGAAAGTGGGTGGACCCCAGGGTTCTGGTATCCAGGTGTTGGGGATGCGCCGCTAGGTGTCCGCCCCGGGCCAGCTTCTCCCGGCTGGTGAGGGTTCCAGCTGGAGTTGGCGCTGCTCAAAGTGAAGAGGATCCCGCAGGTGACGGTCGCGCAGGTGGAGGGCCAGAGACACTGGGTGCCGGGGTGAGGGTTGCGCAGGTGAGGGTCGCTCTGGTGCAGGGCCCGCAGGTGAGGATCGTGAAGGTGAGGGTCGCGTAGATGAGGGGCCGGCAAGGTGAGGGTCACTCGAACATCCATTAAATGATGGAAGCTCAGATGCTGCGCCTGCGGGAGAGGGGTGCGCAGATAGTGTGCGCACAGGTGAGGGTTGTGGGGTTAATGCGCATGCGGGTCAGCGGCGTGCAGGGCGCTGCCAGTTGCTCTCTGCGCGGGAAGGGGGAGGGTGAACCCTAGCGCTGCTCCAGGTGCCAGGAAGAAACGAGTTGTCCCCAACAGTTATGGAGAGAAGTGTCCCACCTGTCTTTTCGTGGAGGACGGAACAAAGTTTCATTTTGATCGCTCACATGAATTCGCTTGTTATTGATTTACTAGATGTTATCATATAAAATATTGGCATCGAGTTGTTTGGCAGTTCAACCAGGAAACTTTACAGTCGTGCTTGTGAAATGTCACAAGCTCGTTTGCACGGGGGAGTCACACCTCTCTCCATTTCCACTTAAGGGGCTGGCGGAGTGACTCGTTTTCACGCGTGACTAGGGTGGTCCGTGATATCCCGGTAGCTGTTCACCTGGACGTGGACCTCCTGTTTCCTGCTTCGTATTGTCAGCTTCGAGCTGCGTCCCTCGTACAGTGAGTTACCCAAACACTGACAATGCAGTACAAAGGGGCACTCCCCTGAAGGCAGCGGAGGGAATTTTCAGGCATCTGGATGATTCAGTCTGTTGTTCGCCCCTCTCCCCGCTCCCCCATTATCTCTCGTCTCCCCTCTGGTCTTTCTCCTTGCCTCATTTTTCGTGCCGGACCTGCTTTGCCTTATTTCCTTTTTGCTGTTGCGAACCGCGTTAAAACCCAGGCTTTCGTTTGCTCTAACTTAGTCCTTAAAAAACAAAAATTGGTGACCCCCTTCAATGAAAGGGCTGTCTGAAATCTTTGCCGGCCTGCGGAGCCAGTAACAGAAACCACCTTGGCGCCTTGTCTTTCAGTTTGTGCGGTTTCTGTCCCATCTGCATTTTGGGCTAAACCACCCTGGTTTCTCAGCCAATCTATGATTCTTCTTTCCCTTCTTCAGTGGCCAAACTGACCCTCTAGTCTCTGCAGAATCCTCATTATTGCAGATGTTTTTAATGCTGCACACGGTCACTAGGCACAAAGTATGTTCTTGGTTCTGTTGTTATACTTTCTGCACTGGCAGGCATTAATGCACCAATTAGTTATTCTTTACCTTGGCTTTTTGTCAAAATGCACTTTTTTTGGTGTGGTTACTGAACATAAAACTTAGCGAGATTATCATAAAAAAGTAGAATGAAAATCATATACACGGGGCTGGAGACATGGCTCAGCGGCTAAGAGCACTGACTGCTCTTTCAGATGACCCGGGTTCGATTCCCAGCACCCACATGGCGACTGTGAACCATCCTTAACTCCAGTTCCAGGGGAGTCCAATGCGCTCTTCTGACCTTGGCAGCATTGCACCACATGGTGCACTCACGTACATTTGGGCAATACACTCATACACGTAGAATAAAAATAATAAATAAAATATTTTTAAAAAATCAGATGCATGATAGAAATTGAAAGGAATTTCCAGGTTTTCCTCAGTTAGTACTGAACAACTGCTTTCCAGTCTCTCCCTCCCTCCCTCCCTCCCCCTTTCATTTTCACACTCATACACACACATTTACTTTTAAAATACATTTCATTCAAAACAATTTGTAAATCTTCATACACCAAACTAAGTAGTCTACCTCTCTGACTATAATTTAATATCTTAGAGATAAAAGCAAATGGACTGGAGAGATGCCTTAGTGGTTAAGACTACTGGCTGTTCTTGCAGAAGACCTGGGTTTGAATTCTAGCACCCACATGGCAGCCAATAACTGTTTGTAGCTCCAGTTCTGGGGGCTCCAACACTGCTTTTGTCCTCCGCAGGCATTGCACGACGTGGGTGAACCTACACACATGCAGGCATAACACTCACACACATAAAATAAAAATAAATTAATTTTTAAAAAAGATAAAAGCAAAAGCCAAATTTTAAAATCCAGTTTGATAGTTCAGTCTGGCTGCAGATAGAGGAGTCCAGGTGTACATAAGAAGGTTCTTCTCTGGGGAGCCAAGGGAGCCACCTTCCAGTTTTCTGGACAGGTCCTACAGGGCAGGTGAAACCAGCAGGTGTTGCCTGTGTGGGGATCAGCACTGGGCTGAGGGCTGCAGCAGACCTTGTCATCCACAAACTGGATATGCAAGTGTCAGAGGAGATATTTTCTGAAGTCACCTCCAGTTTGACATCTTACTGAAGCGCTGAGGTCAGAATTTACCTACCCTCCTTCAGCTGGTGGGGGCTTCGGAAGAGTGGTCTGCTCTCTGGGACAGCCCTGTGGGTTCAGGACCTCTACTCAAATGTCCCCTGTGCTGCTGCCTTGACTTAGACCTTGTTCTAAAATTGGACTCCGCTCTGGTCTGTTCCTTCCCTTCATGATGGTCTTTTTGGTTCTCCATCCTAGAATTGATACCTGGGGTTTGCTCAGGACCCCTGATTCCACTTGTCCTGTTGATTGCTATGGAGCAGGGGTTACCTCGTGCACAGATTAGCCAATGCTCTGGCACTGAACTTTTTTTTTGTAAATGGAGGATTTTTTTTTTTTTAATGGCCAACAGGCAAGAAGGCAAAGAGCTATAAGCTCAAATTTGACTCCCAGTGGGCTGGTGGAGGCGTTCAGAGAGAGAGAAGCAATTGATTGGTTGCTAAAAGTATGTGCTTCCTTTGGGAAGAGTTGTGTCTTTTGTACAGGATTTCAAGCTTATGACATCATTGACCTGGCTGTTTGGTTTCCTCTGGTCATTCCTGTTCTTGAAAAGCTGGTTCCAAATCTCTGGAATCATTAAGTCTTTGCAGGACAGACAATCTAAGTTAAGAAAATTATATTGTGCATGTCCAGGCCTCTGGACTTCATGATCTCAAAGTCAATCTTTCTTCTGTTTCAAGTTTCCTTTGTGATAACTTCCAGGCTTTAACTTAGGGACACAGTTAAAGGTTCTGTGCTGGAATCACATGTCAGAAAACATTTGCCCTGTGTCCTCTTAGGTTCAATTGCTGGCAAGGTAGGGTGGCACACAACTTTCATCCCAGCTCTCGGAGGCAGAGGCAGGCAGATCTCTGTGAGTTTGAGGCCAGCCAGGAGTCCATAATGAGACCCCTGTTTCAAAACAAAACAAAAAAAATAAAAGATTATATATTAAGTCCAATTACTGGAAACCTGCAATTTAAACTGACAAAATACAGATTAATAAGAGAAAACATGGATTTTTATCCAGATAAATAATGTTCACAGAAAAAAAAAAGTGACTCAAGCAAGCAGTTAAAATTTGGGGCTTATCCAAATAATTCCAATGGAATTTCAGGAAACCAGACAGGAGGTATGCTACTTTTGGACTGTTTGGCTGTGGCAGGGATTTACTAGAAGAGACTACTTGCTGCCGTGACAGTTGAGTTATTTGGGGAGGTTTTGCTTTTAGATAGATAAGGGATTTCAGGAACTCAAGTAACTTCAGCTCTAAATAATTTGTGTGCCAGAGTAAGTCAACTGTCTGTCACAATGACAAATACCCAGGATGAAGCCACTTAAAGAGAAGAGAGGTTTATTTTGGCTCACTGTTTGAGAGGGTTTCATCCATGGCTGTTTTATCCTTTTGGTCATGTAGTAATCCAGTCCGTCTTGGTGGGAACACATGGTAAACGAAGCCTGCTGACCTCATGGTGGTCAGGAAACAGAGGGAGAAGAAGGACTGAGGTCCCACTATCGTCAGTGACTGAACGTCTTCCCATCTTACTTCCCAAAACTTCTACCACCTCCTAATATCACCAGACTGGTGACCAAGCCTCAACTGATGGGTCTTTAGGAGACGTTTCTAAACCATAGAAATCACTGGGGTTTATTCTGCACCTCTTCATACAGATCTAACATGTAATTCTGTCATCCTCTTCCCAACATGTTATGGGACCTCCTCCACCACCTCCAGGGTGATGCGCAAAGTTTGGATAGGCACACAACCTTCTGGGAATTCAGTCCCGACAACCTCTAGGTTGCTTCTTGTGTGCCAAACTGTTGATCCCTCTGTATTTCGCTACTGACTCTTTAGGTTTTGTTTCCTGTCTAAAGAATCCTTTCTCAGACATACATAGAGGGATCTTATGCCATGGAAGTGCTGGGAAGGAGACCAAGCCAATATCAGGAACCAGACCTCAGCCTGAGCTGACTGGCTTCTGCTGTAGCCTGAGGGAAACAGCACAGGAGAGGTAGCTCCCATCCCAGTGGATTTTCTGGGCTGGGCTAGAGCTGTTGGTCATGGCTATGGTTTCAAAAGATGTTTTCCTTCTTGTATGAAATCACTGTGTTTTGAGGTTTGCGGGGGAATAGAACATTGAGTTAATACAGGAACTGCTGAGTTATTGTCTTGCATAAATGTCCTGGCCTTGTGGTTTGGTCTGGGCCTTATAAGGCTGAAGGACTGTAGGTGCTGGGCTGCTCGGAAAGCACTGAGTGGGGCACTTTGCTCTGGCCAGCAAGGTGTTAAAGCCTGGGCTGAAACACTTCTCAAATAATGTGTCCACATGACAAACTGAGAAGAATCTGAGCCATGAGCATCTGAACCAGAGAATGCAAAGATGGCAAGCCTTTTATCGCACTTTAAGAGTCAGTGTTTGTGGCAAAAGTGGGCTTTCGGGTTTTTCCAAAGTAAACTGGTCAGGCAGTCATAATCAACACATAGGTGTGATCTCTAGCAAGCTAGAGAGATGCTAATAACATGTTGCTCAGCTATGTGGCTTCCAAAATGAATGAGTTTTAGTTAAGAGCAAATGCTGCTATTTTTATGCTAACAGATTGTCTGAAGTCTGATTCTGGAGACTTTCTGAGGGTTTTATGGATTTTTCTCTCAGTAACAATTCCCCCCTTGTAATCGGTGTAGCTATCTTGGACCCCATTTGTTTAGCTTGGTTTGGGTATAAGGGTCTCCTATTCTAACATCCTGGCCATGTTGCCTCATCTGGTGTTTTTTCGGCATGCTTTCAATGGGTGTGATGGTTTAATCTTTGTTGAGACTGGTGTGGCACACCTTTGGATGTGCCTGTGAGGGTGTTTCCAGAGATTAACTGAGGGAGCAAGACCAACCCTGAATGTGAGTGTCACCATCCCATGGGCTGGGAGCCCAGATGTAATCAAAGGGGAAAAAGAGAGAGCCAGCCTGAGCCTCAGCATCTTCTCTCTGTTTCGTGACTCTACTCCATAGAGACAGCTCTGCCCTGCCACCCTTCCCTAGCTTCCCCGTACCCTCTGACACTGTGAGCCAAATCAATTCTTCCTCCCTTAGGTCAGGTATGTTAGTCATGATGATGCAAATGTGGCTAGCACAATGGGTAAGAGGCTAAGGACCCAGGGTTGACTTGCCTGTGTGTCCCCTTGTGGTCTCTACCTGTTAAGTCCCTACTACCTCTTTCCTAGGCTGATTTCTAGGAATCATTAGGAAACCATCATACTTTCCCAAGAGCATGCTGGCTTTGTCCTTACACTCTCAATTTTCCTTTCTACCCTCTCCTTCATAGATAAAGTGATCCAGTTCTGGTCATACACATTTGCCCAGCTCTCTCCTTTCACTGGCCTGTGTTGGGGTTTGATCCTAACTTGCTTGGTGTGTTATGTAGTGCATCCAAGTTTACATCGTCTGGGTCTCCTTCACCCCTCTCCAGCCATACATGCTCTAGAGCTGAAGGGAAATTTCCCTTATGCTTCCTCAAGGTTCACTCTATAAATTGATAAAGATTAAATAGGAGAAAGGGCACATTCATTTATTAACAAGCAAAAGGTAAGACAACAGTGTAAGGGAAAAAATAGCAAGCCTGTTTTGATTTAGCTGTTTAACATTATCCATAAACTCCCGTGCTTTATTCCTACTAGGGCAGGAAGTAGAGAATGGGGACCTAGGACAGTTTTGAGGGTTTAGAACGAGTTTCACATTCCTTAACATTGGCAATGCTGCTGTGCTTTCTAGGGTTTCTGCGCTTTCTCAGCAATCTTATACGCCAATCATGTCACCAAGAGCCCAGAGGCAAGCTCTAGAATGTACTCTGACTATGAGGGGGATGGGTGAGACCATCTCCTTGGGAGTGGAAAGAGTCCTGGGGAAAGAGACCTTCTCACTCTTTCTTTCCTGAGCTAGAGGATGATGTCAGTGTGGGGCTGGAAGGCAGCTGAGTTCCCTGTGCAGTAAGGGAATTCGGCCAGGCTTTCTTCTGTGCTGGGGGTGAGAGGAGCAAGGCCTTCTGTTTTTCTCTAAATCAAATTGCACGTGCTCAAAGCTACCTTCTCTGAGGTCCAGTATTACCAGGGAGGCTTTTACTCGAGGTACACACTAGCCCTGAGGACACACACAAGGGTCCAGGCACTAACTGCAGACCTGGACCTCATGTATTCAAAAGAGTTTCACATTCCTTTACTGAGGTAATGTTGCTGTGCTTTCTAGGGTCTTTCACTCAGCAATCTAACATGCTAATTGCATGTTACCAAGAGCATGAGGCAAGCTGTAGAATGTACTCTGCCATTATAATAATAGCTGGGCCAGCAAGATGGCTTACTGGGTAAGTGCCGTTGCCTCCAAGCCTGACAACGTAGTTCAATCTTCAAAACATGTATGATGAAGGAGGTAACTGATTCCTGAAAGTTGTCCTCTGACCTCCACATGTGTGATTGTGGCATGTTTGCCTCTCCTACAATAAAATAAAATAAATAAACATTTATTTTCTAATTTGCTGAGGAACTGGGTGTGGTGGTGTACACCTTTAATCCTAGCATTCTGGAGGCAGAGGCAGGTGAATATCTGTGAGCTTGAGACCAGCCTGATCTACAGTTGGGGTTATAGAGACCCTGTCAAAAACAGAAAACAAAAGCAAATTTGCTGAGAGACAGCACCGGGAACCACTCTCTACTCACCATCTCTGTTCCCCTTCCCTCACCACTTCTAGGCAAAGCTGCCAACCCTCTCATCTGCCTGTCTTAAATGCTCTTTCCTTGCACTGTGCTTGACTTTGGGCCCAGTTACAGGGTGAGGGATGGTACCTCATTCCCAGGCGAGAGATGCAGCTCAGTGGTGGAGTACTTGCCTGTATGTACACCTCGTGGCTCCATCCTCAGTACCACCCCAACAAAAACAACAGAACTCTCTGGGTCTGCTGGCTGCCTCGGTTGGAGAGCAACCGGCTGGCATTTCCAGAGAAGTGTGTCACCAGTGCCAAGGGAGAACAAAAGCAAGATGGAGAGGGACAAGCACCAATTACAGGAGAATTTTGCTCTGGTTTGTAAACTTCACCAAAAGGTATGGTCACACTAGTTATAATCCCTAACAAAGGGATCTTTTAAGTTTTAGCTTATTGGAATTCCAGGGTAAGAACCATGCCTTGAGAATATCAGCTAGGCTTCAGGAAACCAGCTCCAGCCTGCAGAGTTACTAAGCTGCCCCGGGACCTGTGACTCCTCCCTCTATGCTTCCTTCATTTCCCCAGTGAGCCTGTCCTTCATGCAGGGCTGTGGTAGGAGGTGGGAGGCTGGCAGGTTCATGGCCCTCAGAGAGTCATTCATTCAACATGTAAGCATCAATATCCTCTAGAGCACTGGCAAAACTGCCCATGACCACATATAGGGCAAACTCTGGCACATCTGCACCAAATGAGCCCCAAGAGAACAACTACAGCTGTTCACGCTACTTTTCCCTGTGGGCTCTGTAGCCAGGCTGGGCACAGCTGTCCCACATCAGCTTCAAGTCCTCCCCATCTAAGGCTGTGGAGCTGGTAGCTGCTTCACCTCTGATCTGATCCCTGCATCTCTCTACTGTCCTTGAAATCAGGAAGAGGATATTCTAGACTCTGGAGGGGCAAGGCAGCGGTGGGGTGGGGGTGGGTGAGGCACTGGTCTGCAGGGTCAGTGACATCCTGATATTTGCTGGGATGGGAAACCAAAAAGCAGGAACTTTTGTCCCTGATCTAATCTATGCAAGTATGAGGTCCACCCATGTGGGCTTTTGTAACAGTTTTGCCAACTCATTTGTAAAGCTAGATACACATATATACACATGCACATACACACATACACAGACACTGACACACAGAAATATACACAGACAGAAACACACATACACACATCTACAGACAGAACCCTATAGACAGAACCCACACATACTTACTTTACCCATTTCCATAATGTATGTGATGTAAGTGTGAAGAATTACACTTCCTTGAACTGGATTTCCACATTGGTGCTGCCCCACACATCTTAGTTCCTTTTTGGTCGATTCTCTCCAATCCCTGTGACACTTTTCTTCTAGATCCTGCCACAGAGAGACTAAGGCCATGGCAGCTACAGGAGCTGGAGCAAAGGAACTCAAAAACCATCACAAGTAAGACTGACCTGGGCGGGGCTGGGCTGGACTGGGTTGTTTTCATTAAGTATCCTTTAATTTGTTTATTTTTCCAAGCACTTGGCATATATTACATGATTCTCACATTAGGGGCTGAGGGATGAAGGGCTCAAAGAGCCCACAGCTCAGATGGCTAGGTGCTGGACTCTCTGTCCTTAACCCTTAGGACATGTCATGGGCTCAGAAAACAAGGCAGTTCAGTGCTCCAATGTGTGTCTTGTAAACTTTCTTCTGTACATGGCATTTTTCTGAAGGAAAGTCTGCTGCTCATCTCTTGTTCTTGTTTCTGAGTCTTGAATGTCTTCCTTTCTTTGTAGTTTTTCATAATTCTAGTATGTGATTTTCATGAATTCTCCTAGGTTTAGGCTTTGTTAACAAGCTAACCATGTCTTTGTGATTGCTGTGTATATGTATGTATGTGTGTAAGCACATCCAACCCAGGGTCTTAAGCATACCTTAGTAAGCAGACATTCTACTGCTGAGCTGCCCTCCTACATGGATTTGAAGTCCATTGAACTTTCCTAATTTGCTCACCACTCAGTTGACCACTGCCTGTGCTGGGGTCACTGCCTGTGCTGGCATCTCCTGTGGTATCCTCCTGTTCTGCTTCTGTGGCCTCAGTAGTGGGCTCTCTGTGAATATTTGTTAAACAAATAAGGTGACAGAATAAAGCATGATAACCTCCCTTCACATTATGTAGAGACTAAATATTTTTATAGTGCTTTGGGGCCTGTTCCGGCTTCCATACGTGCCAGAGCTACACATTTTAAAATTACACTGCTCTCACAGAGACACTCTGCTTCCTTCTCTTCCTGGAACTGGGAGTGAAGGTTTTTCTGTTTTAAAATTTGTGGCTGGGTTGTCTTAATCATATCCTGTTGTGTCATTTTGAAACACACAGTTGACCTTTCTGTTTTGTGTTTTATTTCCATGACATTTTGAGGGTGAACAGAGTTAAGTTGCTGAAGGGTATGATAGGATAATTAGAATTTCAGAATTTCTTAGAGATCAAAAAGACTTTCTAGAAATGTCTAGCCACACACAGTCTGGATTCGGTCCCTTAAGAAATGCCCTCCTCCCCTTAGTAAAATGAACTGCACTTGAAGAGCCAGGAAGTGGGTGAGGAGAGCTGGGTCACAGCAGGTAAGCACAGTCTGCCTCGCGCAGGTGTACTGCCCTTCCCCAGCCTGGTTTGCAGCACCTTTGTCCTGGGTGTGGTCAGCAGGGCCCCTGCAGGTGTGATTGACATGTGCGCTATGATAGCTTATCTCCTAACACTTTCCCACAAAGCAATCCACCAGCCCCTCACTCCCTTTATAAAAGAGCTCTGTCTCACCTTAGTCTTTTGTGCTTATATTTTCTATATCAGTCTTAAAATTGTTCATGTGTTGAATTAACGTGGATCACACTCAAGGGGAATGGATGAGAATGGGAGGGGGATTGAGAAACATGAAGCAACTAGATGTAGGGAGAGGAATGGGCCCTCAGTGCCTACCCTGGAGGTGACTGAAAGAAAGGAAGGAAACTGGAAATAGATGAGATAGAAAATAAAGCACCTCTGATTCAGCTTTGCTGTGCTTGTCTGGTATGTGTGTGTGTGTGGTGTGGTGTGGTGTATTTGTGGTGTGGTGTGTGTATGTGTGTGGTGTGTGGTATGTGTGTGGTGTGTGTGTGTGTTGTGGTGTATGTGTGTGGTGTATGTGGTGTGTGTGTGTATGTGTGTGTGTGTGGTGTGTGTATGTGTGTGGTGTGTGGTGTGTGTGTGTGTGTGTGTGTGTGTGTGTGGTATGGGGGACGGCTATAAATAAGACATGGTCATGGCCTCCAGGAGATTTTTGCTGCTGGAGACAATTATAATTCTTTTTTTTTTTTTAACTTTAAAAAAAAATTATTTTTATTTTGTGTGTATGCGTGTATTGCCTGCATGTATGTGAGTGGACCCGTGTCATGGAATGCCCGTGGAGGTCAGAAGAGGCTGTCAGATCCCCTGGGACTGGAGTTACGGGTTGTTGTTAGCTGCCATGTGGGTGCTGGGATTCAAACCCAGGTCTTCTACAAGAACAATCAGTGTTCTTAACCGCTGAGCCATCTCTCCAGCCCCAACAATTATAATTCTTAGAGTAACTGTATAACTTTTTATAATAACAAAATGTAGACAGCCAGGTATTGTGGCATTTGTCTGTGATCCTGGCATTCAGGAAGCCAAGGCAAGTGCTTCAAGAGATCAAGGCCATTCTGGGCAGCATAATGAAACTTTGTCTAAAGAAAAAGAAACAGGGGTTGAAGATGCTGCTTAATTGGTAGAATGACTACTTAGCATGTCCTGGTTCTACCACTATTGCTGCATGAAGCAGGCATGTAATCCTAGCCCTGAGGAGGTAGATGTAGGAAGATAAAGAGTTCAAGGCTACATAGCAAGTTAGTGAGTTTGAGATCAGATGGGGATACAGTGAAATTCTGTCTCAAAAATATTAAATAAGGGGCTGGAGAGATGGCTTAGCAATTAAGAACATGGGCTGTTCTTGCAGAACACCCGGGTTCGAATCCCAGCACCTACATGGCGGCTACAGCTATCCATAACTCTAGTTCCAGGGGATCCGACAGCCTCTTCTGTCCTCCGCAGGCATTGCATGACATGGGTGCACTTATCTACATGCAGGCAATACATGCATTCTCATAAAATAAAAATAATACACTATTTAAAATAAATAAATAAGGAAAGAGAGAAAGAAAGAAGAAAAGAAAGAAAGATAAATGAACAAAACAGGCTTTGGCTTTTCTGGTACGAGGGGAGAGCCCTTTATGGATGACACAGATGCTTCCTGATGTAGATAGAATTATGTTCCCACAGACCCACTTTAGGTCTCACTTAGTACATGTAGCTCCTGTCAGCTTGTCATTATATCTTCTTCAAAGTTCTGTGGGTGGTTGCATTTCAAATATATGAACTAGTAAGTAAAAATACAATTGGAATTATTGCTATGTTGACCTCTGATTCATTTCTTAGAAACTTCATATATAAGTGAAACACCTGTAGAGTGCCGGTTGTTCCTCCTCTGGGGTGGTTGACTGAGAGCAGTGGAGGCATCCGCACTCAGCATCATTATGAGTGGATTGTATTGCATATTGCTAGCCCAGGAAAAAAACCCATGCCCAAAATTCAACGCATACCACTTTCAAATGATCTGAGTCAAGATGATCTGTATTTCCAAATTACAGGCAGCGAAGATCTTTGCTCTCGCTCTCTAGCATTTTTTTTTTTTTTTTTTTTTTCTCATGAGTTAGAGTGAGGAAAAAAATAACATCAGGTGGTTGTGGAGAGAAAGCCAGACTTGGAAGAAAAAGATGCTCTTGCTTGTTCATGTTGGAGGACACACACCTGCCTGCATCCTGCTGAAGAGGAGACTGATTTGGAAACCAGGAGGCACTGTTGAGGCAGCTGTGCTGAAGGATGGTCTGAAGAAGCTTGACAGGGTAGAGGTGGAATCACCTAGACCTGGGACACCTTTTTGTAAACCAACCTTTATTGAAATATAACATCACATATTCTCCCTCATTTTTTACAAAAAATATTTTATTATTTTTATTTTGTGTGTATGCATGTAATTGGCTGCATGTAGGTAGTGCACCCGTGTTGCGCAATGCCTGCGGAGGACAGAAGAGGCAGTCAGATCCCCTGGAACTTGAGTTACAGACAGTTGTTAACTGCCATGTGGGTGCTGGGATTCGAACCCTGGTCTTCTGCAAGAACAGTCAGTGTTCTTATCCTCTGAGCCATCTCTCCAGCCCCATATTCTCCCTCTTTGCCTGCTTGCAGGAGATGGTGATAGGCTTCAGTTGGGACAGAAACTTAATGACCCATAAAGCCATGTTTACTCTTTTTTTTCTGAAATAAAGCTTGCCAACCTCCCTTTAGAGAAGAAGCTTGTTGTCCTACAGAAATACAGTGCTAAAAAGGTTCTAGTTGCTGTTCTCAAGAAAGCAAAATAATGACGCTCTTAGAGTCATGGTTTTGAGTGAGAAGCGGCATTCAAAGCAACAAGACAAGAAAAAGAAATGGGTATTCGGATAGGAAAGGTTATCTCTGGTAGGAGCAGAGGTGATTTATTTTTTCCTATTCTGTTTATGTTTTCAATGTTGACCGTATTACCTTCAAAGCAATGTCAAGTTTATGTATTGGATGAAGTTGACTTGGATATCGACTAGCTCTTTATACAAATTATATCAATTTGACCTCTGTAATTTTGTTACGCTTCTAGGTTTTTGCCAATTGCCTTCAAATAGAACAAAGAGGAATTAAATAAAAAGAAGAAGGGGATATGGGGATCTTGGCAGTGCAGGGTTGTCTTATCCCTAGGTCTGTCTGTCTTTCTTTCCTGTCATGTCCCTTACGTGCCTCACACATACATGGAACATACCTATGGCCATCAGACATCCATGTTTTATGAATCTTTTACTTTCTTGTTTCCTATAGTGACTGCCTCGTCCAACTTTCAAATCCAAATGTAGCAGCAATGAAGGAAGACGTTCTCTACCATTTCAGTCTCAGCACTAGCACACACGATTTCCCAGCTATGTTTGGAGATGTGAAGGTAAGAGCCCAGGCTTTAATTCTAAGAATTGTCTTACGGTCAAACGCCCTCCTGTCTGACATAGCTTCACCTTCTCAGATAATTGGGAGGGGACAGAAACATCTTTATCAAAGTTTTGTATATTGTTACATTTCAATTATAAGAACTAGCAAGTAAAAAAGAGAACCTTGTAACTACTGGTATGTTGGTGTCTTATTCATTTCTACAATTTTCATGTTGAGGTGAGATAGTATGTGAGCTTCCTGAGCTATAAGGCGTGGCTCATACCTATAGTTCCAGGTGCTCAGAAGGCTTGATCCCAGGACTTTGGGGCCAGCCTAGACAAAGATCCCATCTCACAAATAAGCAATAAAAATAAATTTCCTAGTGCTTTGTTGAGGAGAGGGAGAGAGAGTGGAAACTTTCCAAGAGGAGCAGAGAGAGAAAGTACTGAAAGTTTGTATGACACCTGTTTGTAATTAAGGTGTATATTGATGAGGTTGTTTATTTAATTGTCTGTGAGGGATAATTGGATGAAGATAGTTTCCAGTACACTTTTTTCCTACAAAGTTTAAGTTCTTCAGTGCCAGTTTATCCTAACAAAAACATTTTTCTAAAACTCCTTGTTAAACTTTGTTTTGAATTGATGCTTACCTATCCGTACTCACCAACAGTATGATATTTTGGTCTGTGTTTGTGAGGTACAGTGATGGGAGCAGGGCAGGCAGCAGTTCGTGTCTCTGGCCCTTACCATTCTGTCTGTTAGGAACATTCACAATCCCCTTCCTAGTTCTATATTTATAGTTAGTTGCTGTTAACTAGAGTTACCATATTGCTAACACAGAGCTCTTCAGTGTTTAATCCCCATAGGTTAAAGACAGAATTAAATATCAAGAAGGGGCCAGAGCAGCAGAACTGGGTCCCCTCTGCCCTGGATAGAACTGTTGTTTGGTTCCAAAGGTAGGACAGCCTCCCTATTCTCTTAACGCCTCAGCTCTTCATTCATCTGTTAATCTCTGGTCGTTTTTATTCCGGCCGTGGAAATTTCTTTTTGTGTTTAGAGGTCAGTTTGTTTCTTTTAGCTTCAGATTCTTTAGACCACTTTTTGCTCTTTGGTATTCTTTGGCAACACAAAACATCTTCTTATATGACACTTGTCAAAGTGAAGATTTTACTTCATCCACAATATCCAGAAGTCCCTCTACCCTCCTCTTTGAGTCCCTGATCTTCTCATTTATTGGCTCTTTGCCACTCAGGTGACCTGGTGAGAGAGAGACCAATAGGTAGGTGGTGTATTTTAACACTGGGCCCTGGGACTCTGGCCACATGAGGAAGTGGAAGGGTAGTGAGGAGCCCTCACCATCTCAGTCCAAACCCAGACTTTCTCCAGCACCCTAGGCTGCCTTCCATTTGGTGTCTACACTTGCATTTCTAGCAAGTTCCTGGCTACCCCTGATATTGTGGTCCTTGTTCCTCCGATTGCAGTTTGTGTGTGTTGGTGGAAGCCCTTCCCGGATGAACACCTTCATCAGATATGTGGCTGCAGAGCTGGGCCTTGCCCACCCAGGGGAGGAATACCCCAACATCTGTGCAGGGACTGACCGCTACGCCATGTATAAAGTCGGACCGGTGCTGTCTGTGAGCGTGAGTACTGGCCTCTCACTGGGTTTGGTCTCTAGGCTCTGCCAGGCCCCATCCCTACCCTTCTGCTGAACAGCTGGTGCCCTAACACTTGTTTACTGTAAATGTTGGGAGCAAGGTCCGCCCTTTGCAGCTGGGATCTAGGGATCAATGAGATCCAGGCTCCTGCCCAGAAGGCCTGGCTTTCTGGAGAGCCTCAGTACACAAATGTAAATACACATACAAATATGCACAGCTGTCCACAGTGTGTTGGTGGCAGTGCAGGGCAGGCTTTCCTTGCCTGGCTATTAGAAGAGTCACATACCAGGTTTCCAAGCCCCTCTTCCACCTCATATCGAGTGACCTTCATAACACAACATGTCAAGTTAGCAATGAAAGTGGATATAGAAGTCTTCAGTATCCTAGCAAATACATCTCATTTTCCAGTTTTAATTTCCTCTGATGGCAGTAATGTAAATGAAGAGTCAGCAGAGGATCCCCTCCTGCTGAGATGTGCCTCCTGACCTATAGTTAGCCGAGACCTCTAGCATATCAGTCATCCAGTCACCCGAAAACCAAGGCACCTTTAATTACAGCTTGAAGAAGCAGTTTCTATGCCTAACAAATTCAAAAAGGGATCCTTTTCCAATAGAGCTCTGCAGCAGGGACAGCACCTGGAAAGAGTCAGTGTCTTCCCAGAGAGAGGTGTCTTGGTTGGGAGACGTGACTCTGGAAGGGTCTGAAATTATGTGTGTGTGTGTGAAGGACATTAGCATTGCAGGGACACCAAGAGGAGGAAACGACCCAGGCAGATGTGTAGTCAGTAGATGATCTGACTTAAGGGACTGATGGACCAGCCAGTTGTCTAGTTTGGCTAAATCTGAGATGGCCTTGGAGAAAAGGGAAGTGGTAAAACCATAACTTGTGTGATAGGCATTTGTGTACAACTTCTAATAGCAGAAAGAAATGTTTGTTACTGAGCTGTAGCAACTGTTTCCTTCTTGCTGCCTATTTAATAGGCTGTGTGACTCAAATGGGGTTAATGTGCGTGGTATCTCTGTGCATACTGTAAATTTTGTCCAACGTTAATGTTTTGACGTCTATCTTCTGTTACCACCATGATGGATATATTAGCCCGAAGTGCCACATAAACCATACAGTAGTGCCCTCCTTATTCTCAGGGGCTTTGTTCCAAGACCCCCCCCACCCTATGGATGCCCTAAGGCAGGAGAGTACCAAGCCCAATTCTTACAATTTTTTCCTATATATACACATGTCTGATGCATTTTAGTGTATTAATTAAGCATAGCAAGAGACTAGCAATGATAACTAAGAGTAATGAAATAATTGTAATTATATAATGTAATAAGTTATATAGTTATATGAATGTTCTCTCTCATCTCTCTCAAAAAAACTCATCATTCTGTGCTAAGCCTTGTGGACCGTGGGTAACTTACAACACAGAGTGAGTACTCTGGTTGGAGGGACTTCTGTATTGACAAAGGCACAATGCTGGGCTCAGCCTCTGCGTTTCTCTCTGGGTCCAGCATGGTATGGGCATTCCTTCCATTGCAATCATGCTACATGAGCTGATCAAGCTGCTGTACCACGCCAGGTGTTCCAACGTCACCATCATCCGCATTGGCACTTCGGGCGGAATAGGTAAGGACCGAGAAGGGGCGCTGGCCCTGTGGGTGGAGGGTGGGGACAGAGCTCTGCAGGGACTCAAGCATGGGTGGGATTGTGGTTTTGTTCAGTCTCTGCCTGTCTTCTCTCCTTTGATCATTGCTCCTCCTCCCTCTCTATGCAAGGATTTGATATTCCCAGTAAGGAAGCCACAAAACAATCTCTCTCTCTCTCTCTCTCTCTCTCTGGTGGGAGAAGAATGCAAAACTAATAGAAGTGTCCTTAAATTAACTCAAAAGTTCCCAAACTTTGACATGTTTTAAAAAAGAAAAAAGATACTTGATAAAATAGCAAAACACTCTTAAATTATGTCCTCATCTATTTTTTTATTGCTATCAGATATCACAGATTCAGTAACTTATAAAGACCAGAGGTCTGTTCGGGCTCATGATTACTGCCCAAAGCTTAAGGGAGCTATTCAGCAAAGCCGTCTTGCTGGGAGAGATGTAAGCATCCAGGCTTACAAGCATTATTCCTGACTGGGCCTGGCCTCTCAGGGATTTAGAGTAATTCTACAATTCAGTTTTTCTGATTTAGAAGGAGACTTTTTTTAGATCCCAAATAGTCTGAATACAGAGTTATCTTACAGATCTCCAAACCTCTTCCACACAGTACTCTAAACATGCCTGACCTGCATAAGCCCTCCAATCTGTTTTAAACCAACTCTAAATTACTTATAATACCTGATGCAGTATAAGTGCTCTATAAATAGTTGTCCTATTGGGCTGTCAAGGGAATGAAAAACAAAAAATCCAAATCTGTTCATGTTCAGTAAAGATGCAATTTTTGTCCTAGTATTTTGGATCTTTGGTTGCGCTTGAATCCAAAGAGGATCTGGAGGACCAATTGCTTTTGTCTCTTTCTTTCATAAAATTTATTTTTATTTTTTGTGTACATTTGTTTCTGTGAGTGTCTGACACGCATGTGCTGGTGCCCTAAGAGGCTAGAAGTGGACAGCAAATCCCCTGGAGGTGGAGTTCACAGTGCTTGTGAACTGCCCAGTATGGGTGCTGGGAACTGAACTCTAGTCCTCTGCAAGAGTAGTATGTGCTCTTCTCTGAGCAATTTCTCCAGCTCCCTCCCTCACTCCTTCCATCCCTTTTTCCTTCCTTCCTTCCTTCCTTCCTTCCTTCCTTCCTTTTTTTTCCCCTTTTTTTTCTATAATTTTTTTGGGGTAAGATCTCACTGTGTAGCCCAGTTTGACCTCAAGGTCATAATCTAGAGGCCAATTGTATTATTGTATTATCATGTCTTTTCATCATATAAAGAGAGGGATTTATAAAATTTATGCTGCATGATTATAACTCCAAATTTAAAGATGTTGTTCCTGCAAAACCATTGCAATGATGATGAGCCACCTTGATTCCACAGATCTGATCTCTGGCCAGATGCTCACAGCTGGGGTTATTGTCGCCAAGAGAGCTAGGGAATTGTTCTTGATTACAACGGCTTGTAAAACTGACAATCAGGGAGAACTGTATGTAAGCAGGGAAGTTAGAGTTTCCCTAATTTGTTCTACGTCAGTGGAGCAATAAATAAGTAAAGATCAGAAAACTTGTGGGCATCATTGAGAGCAAAAAAGGACAAGGTAGCCTCACATTCCAAAATCTGTGTGTCTGGGAATAACGAGTGAAGGCGGCATTTGCTCGGGAAGGCGCTTGGGGATGCAGCGGGCTGACGCTCTGAGGTGGAAATCCCAAGACAGCCAGGGAGGGTGCTTAGAAGAGTGGCTGAGGAAAGACACGGGATGTTCTGGGCCCTGTGAGCCTGCTAAACGTATTGTCTTGGGTCTGGAGAGACTGTGGATGGGAGGCTGAAATGGAGCAGCACAGGCAGGAAAGGGGAGGGCAGGAACAAGATTGACAACGTGGGCAGCACAGCAGGGGGTGTAAGTGGTCAGGCGGTTTATGTTTCTAGTAAGTTTCATGCAAGCAGCCAACACAGGAGTTCCAGGAAGGTCTCAGAAGGTCTTGTGACTTATTCCTCCTTCTAATGTCATGCTAAAGACCCGTAAAGGACTAGCATTTGGGTTTCAGAATGATCACCATCATCTGCTTTGTTTAAACAACAGCCATTTAGTTGAGATTCTGGAGGCTGGAAGTGTAAGCTCCATGGATTATGTTGTCACACAGTGGGAAGACCAAGGTAGTTATGGGGGAAGGAGGGAGTCTCTTAAGGGCATTGATCCCATTTATAAGGACCCCATTGTCACGAGTCGTCACCTCCAAAGGTCCTATTTCCTAATACCATCATTGCCTTAGGAGTTGGGTTTCAAAGTTCCTAAGAGTGGCCATATCCCATATAAAATTACTATAAAACTAACAGAGAAACGAGAGTAGAATGTCGTTCCAAGTACCACATGACAGAGAAGCCAGCAATGTGCTGGTTATAGAGGAAAGGCAGGCTGTTCAGGAGTTGGCACAGTTGAAGCTGAGTTGGGGGGGCATGAGGATGGTTAAACTAACTTCATGGTCACCTGTTTGGTGGAGTGCATCCAGTGGCAATGCCTGGAAGACGGAGACATTTGACAAAGGCTGCAGAGACCCCTGGTGGAGATTGTCCATGCCTTCTGCAGTGATGAGGCATGAACTGCTAGTCAGGAAAGCTCTTATTAGGAAAAGGATCGACAGTTTTGAGCATGTTGCTGGATGCTTTCGTATTTGGCTGTGCAGATCAATCGTGCTCCTTGTGTCTGCTCTGCTCTACTGCCCCATGGCCCTGCATAGCCACGACACTTGCATCTTCCTCAGGTCTGGAGCCTGGCTCTGTTGTCATCACCCAACAGGCAGTGGATGCCTGCTTTAAGCCAGAGTTCGAGCAGATTGTCCTGGGAAAGCGAGTGGTTCGCAGCACCAACCTGGATGAGCAGCTGGTGCAAGAGTTGATGCAGTGCTCCACGAACCTGAATGAATTCACCACTGTGGTGGGGAATACTATGTGCACCTTGGACTTCTATGAGGGTGAGATGGGAGCAGGGCATATCTGGTCCAGGGACCCCTGACCCACTCTAAGCTTACTTTGTGATGGTGGGTTGCTGTCTTGGGTGGAGTGTCCACATCTGAACTGCTGACCCAGTCACACTGTTTCATGATGACTGCTGTAGTGGTCTGACCAGGCGTCTACCTTTTGAGGACAGGCAGGGCATGGCTGGGCCCCCTTGTTTCCATGTCTTGATGGCAGAGCATGGTGTCTTGAGTATGGTAGGTTCTGACAATGTGCATGTGGTTTCCCCATCTCCAGGGCAAGGACGACTAGATGGTGCCCTCTGCTGCTACACAGAAAAGGACAAGCAGGCCTATCTGCATGCAGCCCATGCTGCAGGCATCCGAAACATTGAGATGGAATCTTCAGTGTTTGCTGCCATGTGTGGTGCCTGTGGTCTGCGAGGTAGGAAGGTGTGCGGTGCCCTTGGCTCCCTCTTTCTTCCTCTCTGTTCTGCTAACCCATCTTCCTAGAGCATCCCAACACTAATTTGTTGATTGATGTCTCCCTTGCCCCTAAGTCAGTTTCTGACTAAGGTGGTGTCCCTGCAGCCCTTATTTACAGTATCCTTTGATTGTTACACAATAAAACACAGGATCCTGGGTGTTCTTGCCGTGACTCGCCCCAACACTGAGAGGGGTTGGTGATTCCCCATGCCCACTCCAGTTCAAATCTTGCATTACTGCCTAGTGAGGTACCTTAGCCCTGCTCAGAGCTTGGGTTTCCATATATGTTCCCCTTTTTTGGGGCCAATCTACCCCCACAGACCCATTCTGAGCTCATCTCTGAAAGATATCCTGCGGGCATAGTGGCCCACGCCTTTAATCCCAGCATTCGGGAGGCAGAGGCAGGTGGATCTCTGCGAGGCCAGCCTGGTCTACATAGTGAGTTCAGACCAGCTGGGACTA